TACTTTGCCATTAAAGACGATACATGGACTTGCACAGTGAACACAAGACAGGTAATCTGTGTGAAATCTCTAATTACGTAACTGTTAGGCTATGCTTCTGTTTGGGACCAACAAAATGTGAACTTTCGAGTAAAAATGAACCCTCCCTTTCACCCCTTTTCTCAGTTTTTCAACTGTCGGACTCGGCAGTGCAGCCAGAGAGAATGATGAATAGCTGCACCGCCTCCACAGGACGCATTTACACCAGGAAGCCACATTTAATGCTACAGCATACACACTGCAGTTGTTTTGAATGGCTGGCTTGACATGCGCCCATTATGGGTTCAGTCTGTCCGTGTTTTCACAGCAGTCTGCAGGAATAGTCGCTCTGACCTCCATGACAACAAGCTCCACAGATCTATTCTGCGTTGATAAGACAGATGGCACACACCGAGTCACAGTAAAAGCAATGCTGATAAGAACGAGGAAGCCAAATAGTGATTTTAATAAAATCTAAGAGTCACAAAGAGCTGAACTCTAGTCACAACAATACTGTTCAGCACAACTACGCAGAGACCTTCAGTCTGATCTAGTTAACTAATGTATCCACTTCTCAATCATTTGTGTTCACATTTGAGGTTAAAACTGTCAATGGCATGAGAACTGCTTTCATACTGATTATTAACTCTACAGATTACTGAAACTGATTTTACTTGTGGTATACTTTAGTAAAAACATCTAATTTAGTAGGATCATCAAATACTCACGGATTGGTTTTCTAAAGGTGATTGTTACTAAGATAAACATAACTATTTATACTGCTAAACTTATAACTTAGTGTAAGCAGAACAGCAACTAAAGCATGGGATGAGTACTGTTAAAAAAAAGAACACTGTCTTTAAATACAAATTTATATTTTAAATGCGAAATTGAATTTTTTTACTGTTTGTTTCAATAAAATCAAATTTGAAATCAAGTTCCAAATATGTTTTAAATACAAATTCAAATCATTTGAAAAAGAAAATAAGATACTTTGAATACTGAAATAATTTGAAAATAAATTGTTAAAAACCAGTTTCAAATTCCAAAAACTTGAAATCACAGAAATGAATTGAAATGAACAAAATGACACTTTATACTGACAACTGTAATGATTGTTTACAGTTAAAAACAATCTAAACAAAAATAAGACTGCATGAGGACGGTGTACAAAACGCCATATTACTACTCAAACATAGTTGTTCAAAGTGCTTCATTATAGTATTACTAGGTTTTCCCCTCTGTTCTTTGTCTGCAGAAGATCATAAAGCGGTTACAACTGATATGTGTCATAAATGCGGCCTGTATATCTCACATCTGCCCACAAAATCATGCGGTGGATCCAGTCTCTGTCTTGCACACAGTTCCTGTGGTCGTAATGTGAAACGTTTAACTTTTCATGTTTGTATTTTAACCCGTCTTGAGCGCCAGCCTCAACAACAACAAAAAACACTCAAGGGTCAGTAATTTTATAATATATAGAAAATCCAGATCCATTGACAGATCCAGATCCGGGGCCTAAAGGGATACTTGAGCCAAAAATGAAAAATGTGTTATTGTTTACACACCCTCCTGTTATTCCAAACTTGCATTTCTTCAATGGAACACAACAGGATTTAGACAGAACTGACAGCCTTGGTCAACATTTCCTGAAGAAAAAAAAAAGTTGTAGAAAAACACTGAAGAAATAAAATCATATAAGTTTGGAAGATGAGGGTGAGGAAATGATGCCAGAACTGTAATTTTGGGTGAACTGTGCCTTTAACTGACCCAATTACACTCTTAAAAATAAAGGTTCCAAAAGGGTGTTTGGGCAGTGATGCCATAGAAGAACCTTTCAGCGAACAGTTCCTAAAAGATCCATTTTGAAGAACATTTTACAAATCTAAAGAACCTTTTCTGCATCTGAAATGTTCCATGGATGTTTAAGGTTCTTCACAGGACCATTGATGCCCATTAAGAACCTTTATTTTTAAGAGCATACTACACTCACAGTAGCAGATTAATGCACATACTGTCAGATTAGCCTGAGCCAAAACAGGTTTGTAGCCGTTGCATTTTCCCCCTCTAAATAAATGCAGAAAACAACTAGTACGTTACATCACAAACTGAAAGTACCCTGAAGTCGGTTTTTCTGACAGTTCTCGTATGTATGTAACGTTAGTTTAGTCGGATTATGCAGGCGCTGCATTAAACAGGTTAATTTAATCTCTTGTATGTGTAGTGCATTCGCTCTCCAAGTGAATAGGCGCTTGCTATCAGGCCACAGAAGCTAAGGTAAGGAAGCAGATCTCATCTGAGTAACTTACTCCCTCGGCAGGAGAAGTGGAGGTGCGCCTCTCCTCTGGAAAACGCCGTCGACAAACACACCGTTCTTGCCGAGACAGCGCAGGTAGAAATGCGGCTCCTCGAAGCTGATCTGCAGATGTCTCCTGGAAATGAAGCTCGAGTGGCCCATGTTGACATCCACGGAGCCGTGCGACGAATTCCGCCCCACGGTGACCGTCCTCTGGCGCATGGCGAACTCGAAGTCCCTGCCTTCCAGGCGAGCGAGGGCCTGCCACGGAGAGGAGAGGGACATGGCTGATGTGATTCCGGGCGAAGTCGAGGAGCAAAGCGTGTACACCGGCGGGACAGAAACAGCCACCGGGCTACAAGGCGCAGATTTGAGCGCCAGTAGGGCTCTCGCTCCGGTATCATCCCCTAAATCAGCCATTTTGTTGAAAAACGCAGAGGGGTTTGCAAGCGCGACGGCGGTGTGTTGGCAGGGCTCACTGTGTTGCTGTTGGTGGTGGTAGTCAAAACATGGAGATGGCGCGTGGAAAACGCGACATGGATTGACGGACTGGAGCGCGGCGCGATTTAAACCCTCGCTTACCTTTCGCTGGTTTTGAAACCGTTAGCGGGGGATAGTGCGATGTCGTTTAGATTTTTTCGTAAAACAAGGCGGAGGTAAGCCCCGGATGACGGAGTGCCCGGATGCTGGAGTTTCACACGTTAGGTTGAAACTATGCGCAGTTTTACTTGTCAACACAAGGTGTCTGTCTTCACTACGAGTTCAGCTGTCTGTTTCTTGCCTTTGAAAATGCTGAAGAATTTAAATCACTGGTTATTAATTTTAATCTATAATATAGTAACCCATTACTTTAAATTGCAATGGCTTTTTTCTACAGTCAAGGGGGGAACATAGCCTACATTGTGTAGATGCAGCTCTAGCAAGGCCAGCATCTCACATTTCTTTACCTGAATTCTCACACTTTTCTGCATTTAGTTCTTTTCCGACCATTTAATGCACATTTAAACTTTATCCTCTTGATCATTTTACACTTGAAATTATGAAATGTATAAAATCTCTTACTTACTGCATAAGGGTACATGTACAGCTGGGGAATGAGTATATAATTATCACTATCGGGGTATAACGTGACCTGCACGAATCAAGTATCCCAGAGAGCCTTGTAATAAACTTTGTAATGTTTTCAGAATCACTGTCAGTAAGGACTTTTAATACTTGGCCTGCCCTTCTGGATGATTTTACCAAAACCTTTAACAATAGTCTTTGCCGTCTTTGTCATTTTAATGGGTTTCTTTTATGTTTTCATTCAAATCAGGTGATGGTTCATCTTGCCATCTCAGAAAAGGATGTAATGAAAAATAATGTAGACTTTCTAGGTCAAAATAAAAAATTCAGCCTGTTGGGAGTCGAGTCAGCAGGAAGTGGAAAGAAAAAATGCTGTCCGGTTTCCTAAAAATGAAACATATCTTGCAACAAAGGTCTTGACCCTAAAGATTTCAAATGCACTAGGTTTGGTTTACCCCAAGTTACACATGCAAATTCTCAAATGTCACAGAAAGACAAGATCATTTTTAAAGATAAAATGAGGAAAAGGCTTTAATGTAGGATGGAATTACAGCTGGTTACATCACATTCAGTGCTGAGGTCAACTGAAAATATTCAACGATACAACAGTAGCTAAAACACCATGCCTAACTATACATATACTTACAAACTTTTCCATGACATTCTAAGTTATTGAGATGCACCTGTACTCATTTAATGATATAGTAATTCATTCTTTTGATAAAGTGGGTATACAAACAATACCCCTTGAGGAGAATCTCAGGTCTAATCAAATCCATTTCATTATCATAACACAATAAATTTAAATAGTGAGTTAGTCTTAATGTACATTTTAAAAGGACCTAGGAAAAAAACATTATATAATACATCATATAATATGAATCAATTATACCTGGGCTTATGATTAGTGTTAAAAATGTATGCCCCATTTTGGCAAAATAACTGCCAGTGCTGAAAAAGCATTTTCTTTTCTAATATCTGTTTTATACTGGTGGTTTTCTAGAGCATGGCAGTGCAATTAAGGCTGTAAGTGGCATGAAAACAAACAATATCTTCCTGTTTAGTCTTCACTGCCAACTGAAATGCAGGACACTGGATTCAGTTTTATGGGCTTTCTGGGTGCAATGAATAACAACCAGTTTTTCACAGAAAGTATTTCTCACATGGGCACATCTTATTTGGTAAAATAATTCTGATGATATGATAGAAAAGAACTTCACATCTTCTTTACAGCCACATGAATATGCATTGCATTGATTATATACATTATATATACAATGTACATATACAGTAAACTATTTAATTGTTTTTATTTTTATAAAACATATAAGTATATAATTAAATGTGCACAATGTTGTTTCTTTTAAAACATATTTATTACATTTCAATAAGCTTTAAACAAATTACACAAAATGAATGAACCAGGAAGAGCTCAAGGTCCATCAGTCTTGAGCACCATAAATCATACAGTGAACTTTACAATGGCTCACTTCAATGAAATGTAAAAGGTGAACATTAAATGTCTGATAATATAATGAAATGATAAAAAGAGAATTATTAATTGTGTAAATATTATAATGTGTTTCAGTCTTCATGATTAAAATTATTTAAAAAAAATCTTATTATTCATAATTATATAATGTTTATAACTGTTTTGCATTGCATTATTGTTTTGCCTTGTGAGATCTTGGTATAAACTTCAGTGTGATGGGAACCTTCGGCTGAAAAGCGGCATTCATCTCTAGAGGGATCTGAGGAAAAAAAAGAGAGAATATAAACAACAATTAATTAATTCCAGACGCAATGCACAGTCTGTCTCACATAACTCATGTATATCAATTCTGATGATATCAATTATATGACAGTCAGTGGACCAACCTGTGTCTCTTTACATGTTTCCATGTTGAAGTTCTGAAGCAGCTTCACAACAAGAAGCTTCATGATCATTTGGGCGAATCTCATTCCAATGCAATTTCGAGGCCCGAGACCAAAAGGCAGGAAAGCGTACTGGTTTATCTCTGACTTACTCTCTGGGCTGAACCTATAGTGATATATCAGAAACACATTCAGTTTAGCAATCCTTGCTTCAATTAAACAGTCTAAACAAACTGAATTCACTGTTTGTAGACATGTTTGAATCCACTGTTTGAATACGTGTTTGTAACCACTTCTTTTAAGAAAACCGGCTTTTGTTTGATTTAGCAAGGTACTACAGTAAATAAGGGTGCTCTAACACTCTAAAGGCTGTTTTAATTTTGTTTAGCCAGCTTAAATCTGGTACGTGGTTCTGTAAACTGTATAGATCACATGTTGTAAGAAAAATTGAAGTGAGAAAAACTGGTTGTGAAAAAAAAAAAATAGATGAAATGATAGACATCACCTCTCTGGTCTGAACTCATCAGGAGACTCCCAGAGTTGCGGATCACGACACAAGACATATGTTGGAATTCCAACCAGAGTGTCCTTTGGTATGGTCACCCCATTGAGCTCCACAGTTTTCTTAGAGGACCTTTCTAAGCGTGGTGCAGTGGGAAGGAGACGCATTGATTCGTTGATGGCCATTTCCAAGTAATCCATTTTCATCAATGCATCATATGTGATGGGAGTCTAAATAAACCACAAAAAAACAAGACATACCCAATGCATATTTCAGCTTTGTTTTAATCCTAATTCCTGTTCCTTAAGTAAAACAACTGAACCCTAAAATCCAAAACTGCCTTTAAAGGTATAGTTCACCCAAAAATTAAAATTCTGTCACTAATTACTCATCCTCATGTCGTTCTAAACCCTGCGTAAGACCTCCGTTCATCTTGGGAACACAAATTAAGATATTTTTGATGGAATCTGAGAGTTCTCTGACCCTCCCATAGACAGCAAGGGTCCTTACACGATCAAGGTCCAGAAACAAAGCAAGGAGATCGGTAAAATAATCCATGTGACATCAGGGGTTCAACCGTAATTTTACGAAGCTACGAGAATACATTTTGAGCGCAAAAGAAAAAAAATAACGACTTTGTTCAACAATTCGTCTCCCTAGCGTCATTTTGGAGAGTATCCACTGAACGTAAATTGCGTATGCTGTTTTGTGTCAGCTGTGCCACGCGGATATGCTGTTTACGTCGTTTACGCATTGATTTGAACGAAAACAATGTATCCGCGTGGCACAGCTGACACAAAACAGCATACGCAATTTACGTTCAGTGGATACTCTCCAAAATGGTGATAGGGAGGAGACGAATTATTGAATAAAGTCATTATTTTTTTTCTATTGCGCTCAAGAAGTATTCTCGTAGCTTCGTAAAATTATGGTTGAACCCCTGATGTCACATGGACGATTTTACAGTCCTTGCTACGTTTCTGGACCTTGATCGTGTAAGGACCCTTGCTGTCTATGAAAGGGTCAGAGAACTCTCAGATTCCATCAAAAATATCTTAATTTGTGTTCCGAAGATGAACGGAGGTCTTACGGGTTTAGAACGACATGAGGGTGAGTAAATAATGACAGAATTTTCATTTGTGGGTGAACTATCCCTTTAAGCTAGATTCTCTAGACAAAAACTATGAACAAAGCAGAAGCCAGTGTGCTCACATCAGGAGGGAAGTTTGTGTCAATCTCCTCAACCAGCTTTTCCAGGCAGTCTGGATTAGTTGCAAGATTATAGAGGAGGTAAGTGAGAGTGGTGCTTGTCGTCTCATAACCTCCGAGAATGAAAACGAGGGACTGGGAGAGAATCTCGTGGTCTGTTAGTCCTATCAAATTCACAAAACAGCATATTTGAAAACAAGTCCCATTTGAAATGATAGAGTCTATAATGTGTCAATTCTGTACTGTCTCTCTAACCTTTTGCTGGTTGCTCATCTGTGTCCTCAAAATGATCACCAGGTATTTGATTCTGGAGCATGAGTTTGAGAAAGTCTACCCGACCCTGATTAAAAACACAGAAGCATCAAAATCATTGCCAGATCTAAATGATAGTGAATGACATAGTGAAATAGTGACAAACATACATCTGATTCCTTGTTGTGCTCGTCCTTAATCTTTTTCACGGCACTGTAGAAAAAATCCATAGACGACTTCGAAAAAAGAGTAACCCCCATTTTCTTCAAAATAATTGCAATGGAGGGAAACAATACTGAAACAAGAAAATAAACTAAATTTTTGTTTCTTTTTTCATTATTTCTGTTCATTTTCCAATATTATTATACAAGCAATAACATACGTATTAGCAGAAAGAGAGGATTGAACATATTAAACTGGATGCATAATTAATTACTCACTTTAGTGTATGAGAGAAGAGTGCCAAAGAGAGGCCAAGGCCTTGGTCCTGGGATTCCCAGTTTCTTAAAAAATCCATGTGGCCAAACACCATAACTTCAGTGTGACAAACAACACGAATATAAGTCTACACACAAATACTAACTAAAATAATATACATCGAACAGAGATTGAGATTAGGGTGACCAGATTTTTTAGTTTAGTTTTGTTGTTTTCACCATTTTACTCACATTTAGATTTCATTTCTGCAGTACATACGCCATACTCTGTTCTACACTGCTTGAGATTAAAACAACACATACAAATATTTATGAGGAAACAAAAAATAAAAGGCAACTCCGTAAATAATATTCAAGCGATTTTACTATGACTACAGAGTAGGTGTAGTAGCCATGGCAACCAGACACTTCCATTCTCACGCTGATTTCCTTCCAGACTAAATTACTTCTACTGCTCGAAAACAACGCGTTTTAGGTTTGAAGCAACTTAACACAACACAATGACACAAGGAATACATTTCAGTAAATCTGACCGAAAACAGACGAACAACCTACGTTTTTGACGGAGGTAAAGTTAGTTTGACATTCATTAGACATTCAGGTATTTTGCCGATTAAACTCTTTGCAGCTTTTATGTTTTGAGCCCAAACTAACACAGATAGACATAAATATGCCCTTAATGTTGCACAAGGCTTCATTTCTAGGAATTAAAAAAAAAATTACCATTAAACTATTTAACTACGTGACATTATAATATAAAACCAATACTAAAATGTTCTGGAAAACATACCTGTTATCACACAAAGCTCCGTTTTTGGAATTACACTTTTATGTTTTTTATAATAATTTTACAACTTTTAATGTATGCAATCATATAAATCCATTAAACTCAATTTTAAGACACAGTTTGAGATAAAGGTATCAAATCAACTGTAAAATATTCAGAATATTATTTTTTTAATTCCTAGAAATGAAGCCTTGGGCAACATTAAGGGCATATTTATGTCTGTCTGAGTTAGTTTGGGCTCAAAACATAAAAACTGCAAAGAGTTTAATTGACAAAGAACCTGAATGTCTAATGAATGTCAAACTAACTTTACCTACGTTACATTTTGGTTGGGTTTCGTTCCGTTCAAGTTATGTAACATAAAAGACATTACTTATGTTCTTTAATATTTGGCCCTCCTCCTGACATAAATGGCGATTAATTATTCTCAGTGTAACACTATCGAAAATCCTCAACACAGTTTATTTTCTCTCAAGAGGCGCGTAGTAGCTGATGTCGCAGTTCAGCTTAGCGTTCCCCAACAGCTCGCGTGCTCAACACAACCCAGCGTTACAATGTGCCATCATTCCAGCCAATCAGAGACCGAGGCTGCTAAATTCTGATTGGCTGCCTTGACAACCAATCACAACATTCCTTGCATTACCTCGACAGCAGAAGAGGACAAATACAGTGCATGCATAATTATTATGCAAGTTGATATTCTGATCATATTTTTTTCCAAGCACATTTGACCAATTCCAAAATACATCAATCTTAATAACTACTATTAATCTTGTATTTAATCATTTATAACTGATATATAATTATTCATGAAGGTTGAAGGCTGAAGTGAAAAATGTCTTATCTGTGTCCTCAAAATGATCACCAGGTATTTGATTCTGGAGCATGAGTTTGAGAAAGTCTACCCGACCCTGATTAAAAACACAAAGTCATTTCTGGTTCTTTAAAAGAGTGGCTCTAACACGTTTTTGGACAATTAAGCCATGCATAAGCTTAAGAGTGAAATAACATACATTTGATTCCTTGTTGTGCTCGTCCTTAATCTTTTTCAGGACATTATAGAAAAATTCCAAATACGACCTTGAAAAAAGACTTATCCCCATTTTTCCCAAAAGATTTGCAACGGAGGGAAATAAAGCTGAAATAATAATAAAAAAAGAAATTTAGATTTCAAAACAGTATTCATATATTCATGTAAATTAAGAGCTGTAAAACTAATATACAGTATAATGCAATTTTTTAAATGATAAAAATAACATACCTAAAATCAGAATGAGAGGATTGAACAGACTGAACTTGAAAAACTTCTTGATGTTGGTCACGAAAGGATCATCTGCGTTGTTTATGGAGTCGATGTCGACGCTAAAGGAGGAGCTGGTGACCACATCCAAACTGTACGGAGCCACAACTCTGGAATAAAAACAGTGTTTGTTTCTTATTAGATATAGTATATAGTGATCATTTACATATCATTACTTTCTAACAAAGCCAATGTCATCTAAAATAATCATAATTAATATTATTAACTTTATCAATCAATTAAATTCATTTTATGTGGTTTTATACAAAGAAATGAACTGCATTAAATGCATTAGTAAAGTTCATGATTGACTATGAATGCTTTTATGTATTATTTAAAGACAGATGTCACACATACTCTTTCACTTTAACTGGCTGCTCGTCTTTCTTTTGCATATTTTTAATAAAACGATCTGCATGCGTCACAGCTATGGGAAATATCTGAAACATATTTAGAAATAAGTGTTAGTTACATATGTGTCAGTGAGCAACAAGTAGAGCATGAAATAATATAAATCTAAATATTATATAAAAGTATATAATAAAAAAATTTTTTGCGACAAAAACTTATATATAGAAGTGGAGAATACTGAGATGCCAATGTCTGGTCATGTCAAAGGGACATTTCACTCTAAATTTGTTCCATATCTGTTTAACAACTTCATAATATCTTTTACAAAGAATAAAGAAAATCATTCATATTTTAAACAACATGAGAGATGACAGCATTTTTATGATTGGGTGAACTATCACTTTAAGTGCCTGTACTACACCTCCTTCAGTCGACCACTTGTGAAATATGGAGAGAGTGAACTGCGGATTCTCTTCCATCTCTCATCTTTAACTACAGTTATTCCATCAGCAAAGGGGCCAGCAAGGTCTGCATTTGTTTCCTGTACAAATTCCAAAAAGATGATGTTTACTGGGACGTAAAGAAATCCTCAGCTTCCTGTCATTATCACACTTTCTGTACAACTTTGAAGGTGAGCTTACCCTTCTGTTAGTGAAGGTTGAATAACATTCTTTCACCATAATCACTTTGATCATTTCCAGGTCAGTAACCATTAATATTGGGAGCCTTCCATCATAGATCCTGAGCAATGAAAGGAATATTGATCAGTTTGCAGTCACAGTGATTCAGGCAAATACCTACACTACCATTCAAAAGTTTGGGGTCAGTACATTTTTTTTATTAATACTTCTACTTAACAAGGATGCATTAAACAGATCAAAATTGACATTAAATACATGTATAATGTTACAAAAGATTTCTGTAGTGAATAAATGCTGTTCTTTTGAGCTTTCTGTTTAAAGAATCCTGACAAAGTATAACAAATATTCAGCAGAACAACTGTTTTCAACGTTTGCCTGTCATTATCACACTTTCTGTACAACTTTGAAGGTGAGCTTACCCTTCTGTTAGTGAAGGTTGAATAACATTCTTTCACCATAATCACTTTGATCATTTCCAGGTCAGTAACCATTAATATTGGGAGCCTTCCATCATAGATCCTGAGCAATGAAAGGAATATTGATCAGTTTGCAGTCACAGTGATTCAGGCAAATACCTACACTACCATTCAAAAGTTTGGGGTCAGTACATTTTTTTTATTAATACTTCTACTTAACAAGGATGCATTAAACAGATCAAAATTGACATTAAATACATGTATAATGTTACAAAAGATTTCTGTAGTGAATAAATGCTGTTCTTTTGAGCTTTCCTGACAAAGTATAACAAATCCTGACAAAGTATAACAAATATTCAGCAGAACAACTGTTTTCAACGTTTGCAAAATCAGTATATTAGAATGATTTCTGAAGATCACGTGACACTGAAGACTGGAGTAATGATGCTGAAAATTCAGCTTTGCATCACAGGAATAAATTACATTTTCAAATATATTAACATAGAAAGCAGGTATTTAAAATATAATATTCGTGACACTGAAGACTGGAGTAATGAGGCTGAAAATTCAGCTTTGCATCACAGGAATAAATTACATTTTAAAATATATTAACATAGAAAGCAGGTATTTAAAATATAATATTTCACAATATAATAATATTTCACAATCTTACTGTTTTCACTGTAAAATAAATGCATCCTTGGTGAGCATAAAGACTTCATTTACATAAAATAAAATAAAAACCTCAGACTTTTGAATGATCTGTTGTGATCCACTAATAAAGCACCCAGTTAGGAAATACTTTTAAACAGACAATAAACCTGACTTAATTAAGCATAACATCATATTTAATGTAAATGTATGACTGAGACTCACCCCCAAACTTTTCCATACTTCTTAGCACACTCCATATCGAAATTGAAAAAACCCTAAAATACATTTGCATATAGACATAGAAGAAAGAAGGATAAAAAGAGTCTTATTGCTCCAGCATCACTGGAATGCGCTGCCCAATATTATTCTACAGGAGTTACATAATTACTCACTTTAGTGTATGAGAGAAACGTGCCAAAGAAAGGCCAAGGCCTTGGTCCTGGGATTCCCAGTTTCTTAAAAAATCCATGTGGCCAAACACCATAACTTCAGTGGGATCGATAACAGAGATATTAGACTACATAACCACATGAAATCCATTAGTACAGTGACTGTACAGTGCGATGAAGTACACAAATACAAGTCAATACTATTTAATTTTTTTTATTAAAAACAGATACAGATGCTGAACTAAAAGCTTTAACACATTATAACAATATAACGCAACAGAATACTGCATAGCCTAATAATATTTTCTTTAACCTGTTGTGTAATACTCACATAAACAGGAGAGTTATGACCAGAAGCACCAGGGTCCAGGTCACAGACAGAGCTGGGAGATCAAGCATTGTAAGTCAGCTGTATTCTTCAGTTGAAGTTCTACTGCGGTGCACACTGATGCTGTGTTTGTGTTTATGTTCATCAGACGGCGCATGATCCGGAAAACGGCGTGGTTTGCAGGTGAGCACGACGACCAAATAAGGCAACACACGACAGGTTATTAGTTTTAACACTTGACATTTTTACGTGTCGAGTTATAGGCGTTAACTGCACTAAGCGGCAGAGGTTACATAAGTCTTCAGTTATGTCTTTATTAGGAACCATACATAAAAACGACAAAAGACACAAACAACCGAAACCAAGTGTGTCCTAAGTGCCAAATAAAGTAACACATCGATTTTACTCACATTAGAAGACAGTAAAGCCCTGCGACTTTATAAAACACACTTCCTCTGTGTTCTGTTGCACAATTCAAAACATTAGGTGTCCTTTCACTGCATTTTAACAGTTCACAGTGACACCCATTGGACAAAAAGTGTAACTGAGTTCAGTCTTATTTTATATATATAGGCTATATATACGTATATAATATACACATGCATGTCATTTATGATTACGTGATTTAATTAAGCATCCTGCGAATGGATGCTTAATATGTTCCAGTGCCGATTCAGAAATGTGTGTTGCCGTGTCAAATGTTATGAAAGCCGATCAGAGAATCGATTTTTTTAGCTTCATGTATTTAATTATACAAAAGTAATTAATACTGATGCTAGTTTTGTTTCAATTGGCATGTCCAGTAACATTATATATATTTTTTATATTATATTTAATAGCTTGTTGGGTGAACACAAAACCACATTAGTTAACATTCAGACCAGAGGAAATGATTTCAAGAATGCAGATTTGATCTGAAAGGATGAACAGTGATTTTAGGATAATGATGTTGCTCATACATGTCAGGTCAGTCCAAGTTGTCATTTTTATACATACTTTTTTAACACTGATGATGATGATGATTATTTTGCACAACATTTATTGTTGTTTTGCTTCGTTACCTTTACCTGTTTCATGAATTGTTACAGTTAAGTTTAAATTGTGCTGAAAAAGGTAATTTTATGTATATTATACTTCATACCTTTCTCCTTTTTTTTCAAATGGTTGCAACAACAAAAAACTGTCTACAGATCCCCCAACATTCAGCCAACAGGCAGGCAAAATACAGCTAGTCTATTCTGTGATAAAAGTGATGATTTGATTAAATGCTTTCCCAAATCTGTGTGAAACTTTTTTTTCCTGTCATGATTTATTGTGCATGTTGACGTATTATCAGGATGACATTGTAGTTGGAGGCATTTAACTGAACAACAAACATTGAATTTATCATAAAAAAATCTTTACTTCATGAACGCCCATGACATACACTTGTGCTAAAACAGTTGGTGGGATTGAAACAAACATTTCCATAACAGTACACTCTTGTTTGATTACTGTACTTCTTGTGTTGGCATTTTCAAGAACTGCAAAAATTCATACTTCTTGTGAAAGAACAACGGAACTACTTTACGTCACTTCTGAAGAACACTACAGTGAACAACAAAATTCATACAAATTAATTCTAAAATCGCACTGTAAAATTACACTTTTTACAAGCCTGTAAAAAAGCAAATATTCCATCAAAAGAAGGAAACTGAAATGTTTATGGCTCAAAAGTGCAGAACATATGTGCAAAGCAACCGCATACTGATCTCCTCACATACAATTCATACAATCGTTCATTAAATAATTTCAAGTGAGTGTTTGCAGTTCCTAAGCGAGGCCAAACAGACAGGAACAAAACAAGAAGAGTAAAAGCCAAATAAAAACAACAACAACTATGAACTTGTTGATATGTGTGAGAATGAGCAATGGCACAAATCACAACACATCTGGCACTGTCTCACCGTCTGATTACACAGAGGCAGGGAACCAGAGCTGTCTGGCTTCTTCTAACAGCCTCCGTAGGTTTTCTTGCTGGTGAGTCTATAGAGAATATACTGAAAACAACCGTGCTTCATTATCCAGGCCGCGTGAACGCGAATCAAATCCATTAGAGAAGATTTACATTTCATGACCTTTACGATCTCGAGTGCAACATGTATATATAGTGACACTGACAGTGAGATGAGATTATTCAGACAAGAGTATACAGTAATTACAGCATGTTTTTCACTTAGCTTTTTCCTCAAGTTCTTTTCAATGTGGTAAGGGCAGGAATGTTAAGTGTGAATATATGCAGCTCTTTAGAGCGAGAAGGTCTCGTCACATGTACAGGCGTTTTCTGTTGCGTCCTGCTCATTAAAACCAGACATTTATGCATCTTTCACAACCAAGGCTGCAAACAGGAGGGGCACGTACATTAACAGTAACTCTGATTAGTCTTCTGTATTGGCATATAAAAATCATTTCTTCTCCCCTTCTCTTAATAATGATCTTGATCACTAATCGAGTACATTCCGGATCCAGCAACTCAATGAGCGGTCACATGTGATGTCTCTTGTAGTGCTCGTGGTGATAGTACTGTGCGAAACCAGAGAATTTCCTCTGCAACTATGTTGTCCGAGCCACAAAGAGGGGTCCGGGTCCTCTTGTATGTCACACGAACGAGGAGAAGCCCGTGACAGGCGTCCGTGAGCCTGGCGCGGGCTGGCCGGTGGGGGTGTAGACCCCGCCAACGCTGTGCTGCGTGACCACTGTCTGATAGTAGGACTCGGTGTCCCCGCTGGCACATTCATCATAGGAACAGGCCAGCGTTTGCTTCAGCCCCTTCTGCTGCCGCTTCCACGAGTTGAAGTATGACGGGTCACTCATGTAGTGATTCACGAACGAGTGTTTGATCGGCTCCTCTTCGCACTCGCTGTCTGTGGCCTGATCATGGAAATATGAGAGTGGAAATCACACACTTGGAAGATTTATGTTTGCGATATCTTGTATGCAAGAGATAATGGAAAGTCAGCTGGTCGAAGAAAACCCCAATTGACCCTTCGCAAAAACCCGCCCTCATTCGTTAATGTTGCTATGTCCGATAAGCCATGCTGCTCTCACACCACACATCATGTTCTCATGTAGTGAAAAATACATTGCGAAACGGACAAGACAGAGCAGGTTTCTATAAGTATGAAGCAAAGTCTCAGCTTTCAAATTTGGTCATTTTTTTAAAGAAATTTAAACAATAAATACAGTTTTGTGGCTCTTTAAAATGTCGTGACAGATCACTGTAGTGCCTTAGTTCAAGAAGCACATGAACCGATCATCTCTTCCTCTTTACTAATTATATCGCAAAATAAACATGAATGAACACCAGAAGGTATCTTGTTTCAACCGTGGAAAGACATCAATACACACCACTTTTCAAGTTCAAATCCACCAACGTTAATCTACTCTCCGGTCTGGTTTGGCAGATTTGGCGTTATGACTGGTCAGATCGCCTGTCAATCAAACTCTCTGCAAAGGGTTAATTGGGTAGCTATGCATCACTCCACCTCAGACTCTGACATCTCTGCAGGCCTCTCTGTCAGCGCGGTGCTCTCTGTGGAAACCACACCGTTGTAGTTGCTACAGATGTCTTCGTCGGAATAGCGCAGTCCGGCTGGATTGGGTCGGGGAGGGGACCTGCTTGGAGACAAAAGGAAGTGGTAAGGGCGTATGTGACGTAAGCCAATTATAAACTTGCTCTGTTGTGCGTCTTGAGGAACATAATCTCTTTGTTTGCCTACCTCCCTTTATCCTAACCCTAAGTGATACTGTAGCAACTTAAAGTGCATAGGCTTGGCAAAATTCTGGAGACAAAATGTTTCAATGTATAAAGCACAGTTCACTCTTAAGTCACTTTCAAACCAAACAGCCTTCTGTTGGCCAATCTGGCAAATTTGTTGAACCTGTTGCGAAATCTGTGTGGGGAACATGAAATTCCCAATCATGTGGATTCCTATCGAAATGACTATTTCAACACATTTACTGACTGCTTAAATTGGTAAGATTGCTTTTATGAAATCCCACAAAAATATCAAAACCGTATTGTGAATTCATCAGATGACGGCGCATATATAAGCTGTTTGGTTACAGTACCTGGTGCCATTCTTCCTCAAGAAGACACCCTTGACATGAACAGGCCTGCTGTTGAGCTCTAGAGCCGTGAAGCCTCCATTGTCCAGCGTGACTGTCTCCTCCACCGTGGACACAGCTTTACCTACAGCAGTCAGCATATCATCATCACAGCAAAAACATCACCTGGGTCAAACTTTAATCGCTGGGAGTCTGAGTGGGTGGACGTGTTTATCTGGATGAATATGTATGCACATTTACAGCATATAATGATTATGTGAGGGAGGATGGATGTGTCATGAGAAGGCTGAAGAGGTTTAGTTCAGGTCACCTGTTCCACAGCTCTTGTACTTCCTGTTCTGTCCGTGCAAGACGAGACCAAAAACCACCAGCAACAGCAGAATCAGGCCGCACAACGCCAACACGATGAGAAACCACCACTCCTCATAAAACGGGGAGTCCTGTTGGGCTGTTTATGACAAAGAGAAATGGAATATAAAAAAAAAAATACAGAAATGTACATTGTTTACATTTTTGCAGATTTTGGGCAGTCAGACTTCAAATTTCAATGAAATCATGTAGTGTGTGGTGGGCACAGAAGCTTGATGATTCCATCCAATCTGAGGATATCAAACATGTCTGATATTTTGAGCAAATTTTGTAACACATGTTGCTTTCATTTGTTTTCATTTAAGTGAACAGCCTTAAATAAGGGTGTAAAAACAGGGTCTAAAGGTTTTAAGCTTGTCCACTTTTGACCACTTCCTGAAGTAGTTCAAAACGCTGTATTATTCGACTGCATTGCTTTTGTTGCGTAGGCATTCATGTGGTTGAATGAGTTTTTACAGCCACAAAAGACTGCCTACTCACTGACCTAACTATATTTTGAGCAAATTTTGTAACACATGTTGCTTTCATTTGTTTTCATTTAAGTGAACAGCCTTAAATAAGGGTGTAAACAGGGTCTAAAGGTTTTAAGCTTGTCCACTTTTGACCACTTCCTGAAGTAGTTCAAAGCGCTGTATTATTCGACTGCATTGCTTTTGTTGCGTAGGCATTCATGTGGTTGAATGAGTTTTTACAGCCACAAAAGACTGCCTACTCACTGACCTAACCTGTGAGCGTAATGGGACATGTTTTGCGGACACGCACCAAAACCAAGATTTCAACTTTGCTATTTTGGGTCAAAAGCACACCGATTGAAATTGTGGTTACCATTTGCATCCTTTCCATTCCCTTCCTTTCCCACTCGCTTGTAAGCAGTGTAATGGCTTCATTTATTCAATTGTACTTGTGTGCCGCACTTGGTGCTCCAGTGAAAGTGATTTAGAGCTTGACGAAATTAGAGGGGACAGAATCCAAACACAAATAGTCACAGGAGATGCTTTTAAAACAGGGGTTTTCAAACTTTTTATAAAGCTTTTTTCTTTTTTAAATTGAAGTGACCAATATATATGTATAAGATAGGACAGTGAAGAGCTGACAGGAAGCAAAGTGGGAGAGAGAGGGGGATGGGATCGGGAAAGGAACTCGAACTGGGATTCGAACTCGGGACACCCTTTAGCTCAACGGCACTGTATGTTGGCATGCTGACCACAAGGCTATTGGCGCTGGCAAAAAACTAAAATTTTATTCAAATTCTGAATGGATTATATATAGCCAAGAAAGTGCGCAAAGAGCGCTCCCTTAATAACCACTGAAAAACCATCACTGATTTGTTATTATTTTGTTTTGTTCCTGGGCCCATTTTTTGGGACCCAGGGTTTGAAAACCAGGGTTTTTAAAACACATGTTAAGACCAGGTGTAAACAGTAATGCGTCTTGGTTCACCTCTTCTGATCGGATCACTAAAAATACATCTTAATACCAGGTGTAAACAGGGCGTTAGAAAAGTAACTGATAATCCTTTATATTACTAAAATTGAATTTAATAGTAATAGTGATAGTCCCCAACTTGGGAAGATGTTTTCTTACTTGAGAGAAGCAGAAGTGATCGTCTGCCATATTTAGAGCAGCAGTGATGCATGTTTATTGGCCCGCGTCCTATCTGCTCATCTCTAGTGCTCTAGAGCAAAGGAGAGCATGGCCTAAATGTGCCAGAACTCTCCAGTCATATGTGACAGCCGCTGACGGACTGCTCTGACAGCAATACTGAGCAGCAGTGACATCAGCTCACAGACAGATTGAAGCATGCCTGTGGTATGAATATTTCAGTCCCATGACATGTGAGATGTTGATAACATACTTTGCTTTTCATTTACAAACAGACCTCTAGGACTTGCACCACACTGCATTAATTACTTGCTGAGGCAACATGGCAGTTTTTCTTGAAAGCACTTGCCAATGGCCAAAGAGAAAGACTGAGCGAGACGGAGAAGAAAGCTCTAGTCTTTGACAGCTTCATTTTTTTCTTTGTATAACTTTAGAGGGTAACATTAAAATCTTGCTTTCAAATCCATGCTTTGTCACTGACGACGCTCTTGTCAAGGTTAAAGCCACAATGAATCACGACGCGGTTTATAATATCACAAATAAAAACCACGTTGTTTAGCTGTTGTTATAAACAACAAACTAAACATATGACAGCCGCTGTGATGAGACCAAGTAAACATCTCGAAACCGTTTCAGCGATTATTACTCAGCTATAATATTCAGAGATACAAAGGTCTTTGCTATATTTTTTCAACAAATAAATCTAGTTTCAGGTTCCTTTTAAGGCACTGGCCTCTAGATGACCCCAGTTACATTTATTACATTTCCTTATACAGCAATGAGACAGAAATTGGTCGCATTATCTGTGATAAGGGGGCAGAGTCCATGTGTTACAAATTCAGGATGTGGTTGCTCAACCACAGGAAAACACATGAAAACAAGGCAATCTCAACGAGTAAACATTTATAAGAGCAAAGGAGAACAGCCACATCTCTAACTCACAAATGCACTGCAAAAAATCAATAAGAATCAGTATACTGTTTTCCAGTACAGACATCTACCGTCAAGACACTATACATTAACAATACCTGGAAAATAAGATGACTTATGATATTAAGTCTTGTTTTCAAAAAAAAAAAAATCACAATAAAAAAAAAAATCAGCTAATGGGGGAAGAAAAAAAAGTTTTCCATTTGAAATAAAAAAACCATCCAAAATGTAGATGACTTTGTTTCTTCATTTTGAACAGATATAGAGAAATTTTGTGTGTAGCAAATTTAGCAGCTACATTTCCCTAAATTTGTTCCGCTGAAGAAACCTACATTTTGTATGACCTGAGGGTGAATACATTTTCTGCAAATTTTCATTTTTGGGTGAACTATTCCTTTAATGTTCATTTTTCTTATCCAATTGGTAGATTTATTTTCTTGTTTTAAGCATAAACTTACTTTTAGATGTTTTTTCTTTCAGAAAACGAGACTTAATATCATATGTCATTTTGCTTATCAAATAAATGTATCTTGGTTTAAGATTGATTTAAAGTTTAAACACAATGAAAAACAACACAGAGTTTTTTTTTTTGCAGTGTGATAGCTTATCAACAAATTCTCATAGGCAGCAATGAGCCAAAATGGAGGGCACTGGGAGAAATCAAATTAATTTCCTGTAATCTCATGTCTTCTTTCAAAAAGATTAAAGGGGTGGTTGATTGCGATTTCACTTTTTTAACGTTAGTTAGTGTGTAATGTTGCTGTTTGAGCATAAACAATATCTGCAGTTACGAAGCTGAAAGTTCAATGCAAAAGGAGATATCGTCTTTTAAAATTCTGGCAGTTTAATGCCTACAAAAACGGCTGGTAGGGACTACAAGAAGTTACTTCCCGGGTTCGTGACATCACAAACCCAGATAAACCCCGCCCCTGAGCAAAGGGGGCAAGGCCTGCGCTGCTTTAGAGAAGAGTATTCTGTCTTCTAACGAGTCTAATGGATTCACCGGTTTCAAAATCAATGTTATAAAGCAGCGGTTCTTAATAGTGTTCCTCACTTCCCCTGCTCTGCACACGCTCTGCATCTCTTTCTCTTTCTCTCTCTCTCTCTCTCTCATTCAGCTCAGCTCCAGCAATGAACTGTTACAATTATACACTTATTTTCACATAGCTATGAGAAGCGTTATACATGGATGCGCGTGCAGTTGCCGTACTGTATTAAAGCTTTAATCAGGATAAAACCGTATATTAAAAGCTAACAGAAGCAGTAGCATTTACAAATAACAGCGTATCTAAAAGTGAGACAACAACAAAGAAAAAACATAGGCCTACCATTAAAAGCCGTGCTTGCACAGGTTCTGCGCGATCCTCTTCAATAATATCCTCTGCTTCTCAATCAGGCTCAAACTGATAAGCGATATTAACGATGCCGTTGTTTACAATACAACCGGAGCACATGCCGCTGAGGTGAGGGGCGGGACATTTAGACATGTACTAGAGGCGGTTTAGCCAATCACAACACACTGGGCTAGCTAACCAATCAGAGCCCATCACATATTTCTGAGGGCAGGGCTTCTTAAAAGAAGGAAAAGATCAGCCCGTTTCTCAGAGAAGGGACAGAGCGGTGTGGAATAAAGGTAAATTATGTGAAAAATAATGTGTTTTTTTAAAAACGAAGCATTAACACATGTTAGACTGCCCCCCATAAACACAATCAAGCCTAGAAAAAAAACAGTGAACCACCCCTTTAAGATTTCCAAGCTTTCTCAAACTGTGCCAAGATAAAGTGTGAAATCCAATCAGAGAACTCAATATGAACTCAATCACTCCTCATCTGAGCTACACATATTCATTTTATACCCATATACACTAACTAAATGTCTACGATTAGTTAACTTTTTGTGTATTTTTATTTATCCTACCGAATTTTAGCAGAAACATGTGAGTCGACGTTTGCGAAAGCTTCATTAAGACTGGTCAGCCAAGAAAGTGGAGCTTTTCCAGAAGGACATGGTACAAACAGTTCATGTGGGTGTAAAAGTCACATTAGAGCTAAATAATACCAACAGTAACTGATGCAACCCCCTGACAAAATCTCGTTGATGACTCATCTCAGTACAGAGGGTGTAATTACCTGACATGGCAGCAGAGGGCGCACTCGGCTCGCCGTAGCCGAACTCGTTGACGGCCAGAACTCTGAACTGGTAGCTGATACCCTGCCGCAGGCGGTCTAGACTCACTGAGTGAGAGGTGCTGGTGGGAGGCAAGTGCCGCACAAACGTATCCCACATCCCTTCATCTGCAGAGAGCAAGGTCACTTCCAGTGAAAATGCCATCGTGCACTTGGTAGCACTAAGTTCATTAGTGTGTCCCATTTCACTTAGCAGAGGCTGACATCAAGAGAGCAGCTAGCAGCTGTTTCATTGCCCGACAAGCAGTGATGTTCAATGTGAATGGAACCATGATGACATGGAAAGGGCAGTTATACCAATGTATCCCAGTAAGTAAATGTTCAGTAGATTATTTCAGACCAGCATTCAGACTCCTAAATTAACACTCGTCATGCGCCAAATGTGAGTAGAAATTCATTTTGACTGATAACTTTTCTAGAAATTGTAACATTACATGATTTGAACTGGAAAAATTAAACTAAGTAAATAACTAACTAAATAAATTAAATGAATAAATACAATTTTTTTTTTAGCTCAGTGAAAAGAAGTTTGAGGCTCATCTAGGATGCCTAGTTTTTTCTATAACATGTGGTGACACATAAACTACCAAAATGGAAATACATGGAATTGTAAATGATGCAGTGAATGATACAATGACCTGCATTGTACAAATATGCAAAAAAAGAAAAAAATAATTAAAGAAAAAGAAAAAAAGAATAAAAGAAAAAAAAAAAAGATGTTGTTATAGCAAAACAAATATTGAAAAAAAAGCAAAATAAAGATGGCTGGTAAGAAATTGTCGGTAGATCTCTGGCAAAAAAATTGCAAAAGACTGCAAAAAAGAAGCATTTATCCACATGATTCCTGGTGAAATCCAAATGTGATGATGCTACATGAAAATAATTACTGCATGCAGTATATTATAAAACTACTAACAAAAAGTAAAAGCAATATAAAAAACAAACAGCATTTTAGAAGCATTTATACAATATTATATTTTTTATTAAAATTGCATTTTATACGGTCAGTTTTTATTTTAAATTTAGTTAAAGTTTTAAACTAAATATTAAATATATATATATATTTTTTTAGTTTTACTAGTTTAAGTTTATAATAGTTAATAAAAATAAAAGTTAATAGTTTAAATTTCTCATCTAAAATTTGATTTTATTTCAGATTACTGAGATTTCAGAGGTTGGTGGTTGAAAAAGTGCAAAGATCTTTGGCACTACTTTGATTTTCCTTAAATGTTTAATTGCTGCATTAAATTTAAGTTTTCAATTTTAAAATGAAATATTTGAAATTTTTATAGTGAATGTTCAATAAAAAAGTGAATATATTAATAGCAAGTTTTGAGTGATGTACCTGATGGGCGTGCTTCAATCACATAGCCGGTCACATGTCCTGCTCCTGTCTCTCCTGGTGTCCAGTGGATGTTGAGCATGGATCCTGTCTTTGTGATTGACATTTCTACAGGAGATCCAGGAGACCCTAAACAGAGAGGAGAGCGTGCAGTGAACTGAGAAGAACAGGCGAGCGATCCGACCCTTGTGAGTGAAGGTCTAAAGTCTAACCAAACGCCTACACCACTGTGAGATATTGATCCACGCAGGTGTTTTTTCACAGCCTGGATTTCTGACACTTCTCGCTGAGGAGTGGGGAATGTAAGCTGTGCTCAGCGACCCTGAGAGGTTTGCTGATCTGTTTTTGTTGGTGGTGTGTTTGTTTGGTTGTGTTGCTCACCTTTGACAGGACCCGCTGTGATGTTGGCCTCTGCCTCAGGCCCGTAGGCAATAGTCTTGGCCTGCACGCGGAAGCAATAGGTCATCCCCTTGGTCAGGTCACGCACCTTCAGCCAGCGCTGCCAGCTGCCTCGGATATCCACTGTTACCACTTTAGTCACACCTAATGTGCACATACATACACAAGACAGCAGAATTACACACTACCGCACAAGAACTGACTCCTTTTATTCAAACAAACATTACAATGCAGCAGCATCTTCCTACTTAGGAACAGCGAGTCAAAATCAATTACTCCAGTTATGTACGATAAATTACGTTGACATTAAGAAATATTATTAAAGTCAGCCATTGAGAAAACTCAACACAGAGCCATGGAAACAATAACAGGAAAATTAGTTTTATATAAACAACTCATCACATCATCATCAAACATCAAAACACTACTAGCGATGTTAAAAAAAGCCACTGTTCGAACCAGAGCATTATGAGAGAGTCTGATACAGTGGAAACATGCAGACCTTGAATCGGGGCGCTGGGCTCATATACCACCCTGTAGCCTTCCACTACACCGTTGGGGGATAGCGGGAAACCCCAGGACACGTTCAGAGTGCTGCTGGTCACCTCGGAGAAACTGATGAAGCTAGGAGCGCTGGGGGCTGCGAGAACCGTGTAGTTTGATCAATGCAACAAATACAGATTACGTTAAAGCAATAAGCCAAGGGTTTTTACCATGATTACGCAGTGTTCTTATGCATAATGTAACTACATGACGATCTTGACCACATTATGGTTTCGTATTATAAATCTAATTATTTCATTTGTTTCAAAGAGCCGGAAAAAAAACAAAGATATTGGCTAAGCAAATAAATATGAAAAACAATAAGATAAAATGAACCAACTAAAATGACTTTTAATATCTATGGAAAGCACACTTTCTCTCTTGATGGATCATTGAATTATTGAAAAATATTTAAAGGAAAGAGGCTTATTGCTTGTACAAAATGGGAATATGACAAATGACTAATAATGGTGTTGTTTTGTTCATAACTTAAAACATGCTTCCTTCCATTTAACTTATCACAATAACTGCTGCTCAGTTTTAGACCATTTTATGAATTTTCAGAGTTTAAATAATGAGAGATTTAATAATCAAGTTGTCAAAAAAGTGAACTTTTCGTCAACATTTTGCAGCAAATAATCTTTTTAAAAAAATCTGTAGTTTTTATTTTAATAAGTTAGAAGTTTTTTCTGTGATTTTTTTTTGGTCATAGCTGTTACTATAGATGGGTGGATTAATGTTACAATATTGTATATTCTGGCACATCTGGAATGCTGTATTGGCATTCATTATCAGCATTCAGCACAATAGTCTGTTTTATAATCGAACTTATTCAATCCACTATAGTTATATTACACAAATGGTCATACTAACTTGTTAAAGAACAAATGAAATGTGCAGAGGGCTTACAGTCTCTTCACTGATCATGCAGAACTGAAGTATTCAATGATACAACAGGGATCTCTGCATTAACATGAATCTGCCATATTACTGCCAGGACATTTTTATATATCAATTTCATGCATATTTCATCAGATATTCACTTAACCCTCACCCATGATCATTATTTCATGACCCAAATGGGCAGTTCTTTAAAACATACTGTCTGGCGCCATTATCTAACGCATAAAAATCTGTGGAGAATATAAGAAATAAAAAAAGAAACAGTAGATATTCTTCCACCCTAGAGAGCTCGTAATGACAGAGGTAGAGGGGAGGAGAAAAAGAGGACGGATAATAAGAGCATGAGAGAGACTGGACGAGGTGGGTGGGTTGGGGGTGTCACCTTATATCCCTGAATGATGCCATTTTGGGTCTCGGCAGGGGGTGCCTCCCACTGCACCTCCAGCTGTGTGGATGACAAAGTGTTGATCTGGATGTTCTGAGGAGCCACGGAGGGAGCTACGAAAGAGCAGAGGAGATACTGTAAATACATCACATTCAATCCCTCCAACTAACTACTAAAAAAATCATCAGCTGTGCCCTGAAAAATGAGATGCACTCATGCTGCTTTGGTGCCGGTGCCCAATCTGGAACCATTACACATGTTTCCACTTGTTCTAAACCTGTATGACATTCTTACTTCCGATGAACAAAAAATAAGATATTTTGAATAATGTTGGCAACCAAACAGTTGAGGTAGTCATAGTATATTTTTCATACTATGGAAGTCAATGGCTACCGTCAGTTTTTTGGTTACCAACATTATTCAAAATATCTTCTTTTGTGTTCAACAGAACAAAAAAAAATTCAGATTTGGAGCAAGTTGAGGGCGAGTAAATTATGACAGAATTTTCATTTTTGGATGAACTATCCAAAAAAAGTCAGTGTACACGCAAAGTGGAAGCATCAGTTTCTGAACGAGAGCTGGTATCAGTGGAAATTAATATCAGATGAACACAGACTCCAGCGTGGCTGCCGCCCTCTGTTGTGTCTCAGTTAAATGTCATTCATTAAAGGGGCGAGGAATACATAATCCTATCCGTCATAAATCACAGCAACAGATGCAGCTACCCCAGACAGCAATCATCAAAAAAAGAGCGAATTTAATAAGACCAAACCTGAAAGCAGAGCAAACTCCAGGAGCATGACAGCTCGTCTATTGTAGGGGCTTGAAAGTTGAGCTTACGTGTAGTAAAGCGGGCTGAATCATTTATGAGCAGGAATGAATTACAGCTCTGGACAGTGGGGTTCAAGAGGGGCTGGCGCGAGACTAGACTGAATGAGCTGTTAAAATAAAGCACAGACAAGCTCAGTTCCAACATCTAAGTGAGCTGTCTTGCTGTCTACACAGGAAGCATCCTAACCGAAACCAAACATTTCAAGTGAGATCTACATATAGATGACAACTCCATATACCACACATCACTTCTCACATCAGGTACACTGGAGACACAACAGTTGTGTCCCAAATGATGCACTATACACTATGCTCTTATTCTATGCACTATGTAGTCAAACATCTAGCTATTGAGGTCTAAAAGGTTACTTTCATCCAGCATTGGAGTCTAATAGCCCTCCCCCTTTGGCTATACAGTTGAGTGCATGAAGTGTCTAATATTCCACACGTCATATTTTCAGTTAAATAACTGCACTTTTTCTTGCTGAATTTTTCAGTGTGAACTCACTACTCATACTAGTTATACTAAAAAAGTTTGGAACAGTGCGTATTTTGTAACCTTGGCGAGATCTGTGCCTTGCCACAATTCTGTTTCTGAGCTCTTCAGGCAGTTCCTTTGACCTTATGATTCTCATTTGCTCTGACATGCACTGTGAGCGGTAATGTCTTATATAGACAGGTGTGTGGCTTTCCTAATCAAGTCCAATCAGTATAATCAAACACAGCTGGACTCAAATGAAGGTGTAGAACCATCTCAAGGATGATCAGAAGAAATGGACAGCACCTGAGTTAAATATATGAGTGTCACAGCAAAGGGTCTGAATACTTATTATTTTGGAATAAATGTAAAATGCTTATACTTGGTTTTAATAAATGGAATAGCTTATTAATTACATTGTTAGTGTAAAAATACAAAATAAATTTTTATTCTGGTAGTGTAAGTAATAAGAAAATGTGACAGGGACATTAACATTTAAAAAAAAATTCAGAACACCACTGCATATATATATATATCAATGGACCAGCTATAAAAGCTTTGACACCATTGTAAACCATCTAAGACCTTTAAAGAGGAGATATTTCAAAATAAGCAATTTATGCAACATATCAAAGTTTTAACCAGCAGTAAAAAAAAAAAAATTCTAAATCAAACTGTGGCAACAGTTTAAAAGTAACCCAGTTCTGTGGAAAAAATTAAGACTTGGCAACCTTTAGCAAGGCCGTTGGGATGGCAGAAGCTTTAAGGGCAAAGCACCCTTCACGCCCGCTCGCCGCCTCTCTTTCCCAGCCTACATCTCTCTGATCCCTCTCAGAGTATCTTCAGATGTAGCCAACCTAACGGTAATCAGAGGGAAATTCATTTGTTTGTTTGGCTGTCCCCCCTCCTGCTGCTGGGAGTAATCTCCACGCCTGGCCCCTTCTAATGATGCTGTTAATAACCTGATGTTGATAACCCTGCCTGCTCCGCCAGCTGCTTGAGTTCTTTATGACAGATTCATATTTACTGCTTCATTAAACCCCTTATGAGAGGAGGCCAAAAATGCTGCAAAGAGGTGTAAGAGGTAAAAAAGAAAATGCGCGCGCACACCCAATCCTGCCAAAACTCTCACCACGACTGCTTTTATTAATACTGTGGCACTACTACAGAAATGCTACTTAGAATTCCATAAATAATCTTGGCAATGATTGGGCGAAATGCAAAACAGTGCGGCGAGCAAGAGCCTTGACAACATCCTGTCTGTGCAGTGTCAGCCTGTTAGCACGGCTGGAGTGGAATTAAACAGCAAAAACGACAGTTCACATTTGTAGCAATTTGCCTGCGTTCGATACTTTTAAGCATATGTTTGAAATGCGGACGTAATGCATCTATTTACTAGCAGTGGGAGGATTGTTTTTCCACTAAAGGCCTTTTCATTGATCATATGAGATGCCCCGCGTGAATATAGATTTGTTTCGGGCTGTGTAGGTGATAAAAATCCTTTCTTTTGTGGTGTACCCAATAAAACAGCACAACAATTATCAGTTTTCCGTGGAATAGCTGCAATGTCATATCCGGGCTTCCTCTTTTGGCAGCTCATTAGACGAAGTGCTCAGCTCTTCAGCCAGGCAGCTGGATATTATTCAAGTCAATAGATATACCAAAACAATATGACTGTTTTTAGTAACAAAACAACTTGAACTCAAATTGAAAAGCACTTTAAAATTCAGCAGTACAAGCTAGCTTGCAGGAGCATGATTGTAAGGTAGGGAAGAAAAGAGAGCTAAACCAGCCTTCAGTACAGCTTGAAACAGCAAACTCATCTTTGAGCACACTCTTTATTCAGCAATCTTTTCATATCTCCAAGCACTCCAGATCCATGTGGTCCTCTTAGCACGTCATCCTCAAGTCCTCTTTAAAAGAACCAAACTCACATCGGACCGATAAGTGAAGAGACTGAAAAAACCCAATTTTTTTTCTTTTTTAATGCATTCACATCAAGTAGTCCCAAATCTCTTTTTAGTCTACTAGAGTTTAATTACACTTTCCATTCACACTGCTTTTTAACTCAGACCACTAAAATATAAAATCTGATATGGAAATGTTAAATACATTCAATAAAATATGTACTGTATCATAATCATATCACACATCTATATATTTGTAGTTGTTGTTATTAACAACAACAACAATAATAATGAATTAGAACAATTAATATTATGATACATTTCATATTATAGTAATAATGATAATAATAATAATAAACTTCAGTATTGGAAATGATTGAAAATGATTAATAATTAGTATACATGTATGCTTTTAAACTGATGTGTTATATATGTAATATCTCATTCTGTCATTTGCATTAAAAAACAGAATGAGAAGCAGCACTTTGTATGGTAATCTGTAATAGCCATATTTTTTAGTTCATATTTAGAGTCACACAAAAGTGAAAATAAGGTAAATGAAGCACTTTGTGTCCACAATTCACTTTGAATTTGAGCTTGGTTTATATGAAAGTGGTTTGTTTTGAAGCCAAATTTCTTCCAAACCACTCTCAGATACCTGAAACTACATTTCAGTACTAATCAAGATTGCATCAGACAGTTATAACAACGCTAATTGATCCAAAAACAGATCCACGTCTAGAAATTGATTCAAACCCAGTCCTTCAGGTGGGTTTGTGTTTCTGTCACATTAGGCAGAAGCCCACCATAGCTCTGGCCTCTGTCCTTATGTTCCTTCTTCATGCCACTCCACTAAGGGAACACAATTCATATCTGTCAACTCATGTCACGCCTTATTCCCTGAAGGGCTGGAGACAGAGCACAAGCTGTCCTGTTCCTGGAGAGCATTACGGCACAGGCCTCCATCTCAAAAGAAACATCCATCGACAGTGGTCATCACCACATCTATCAGGGTGGAGCGGCAGAGATGTTTTACTGCGAGTTTGGGATGATGCCAGAAATGCACGCTGGTCTGGGTTTGACAAAAGTCTACTCTATATTAGAAAAACAAACACAGCCCTCGACATAACCATTGAATTAGGTTCTCATACTGTGCAGGTTTAGAAAATACAAGATACCTAATAATCCCCTTCACATCAGGGCTCAACAATAAGGATGACCTGGATGAAGTGTGGGGCCTGTTGGAACTGGATATTACCATTTTTCATCAAAAGTGTCTTTATGAATTTATAGCAGTTATGGAATCACATAGCCTTATAGTTTACAGACAATATGAACTAAAATAAACTAAAATAAAACAAAATAGCAACTGTTGGACTATATACACTGTATAGTTTCAAGGTAATATTGCAACAAAAAAAAATTATAAAATAAAATAGCAACAGCTATTGTGATCAAAGGGATATCATTATGATTACCAATATTAATCAAACATGTTTTGCTTCAAATATTTTGATGAAGAAACAGCTGGGTATTTCTTAAAGGGGTCCTATTATGCTCTTTTACAAAGTCTTGAATTAGTTTTGGGGGTGTACTAGAACATGCTCTCATGCTTGGTGGTTCGAAAAACGCATAATTTTTTACATAATTTACATTATAACAATACTTTTCTCCCCATCCTAGCACAAACGGCTTGATTAGTTCCGGCTTTGATGAAGGTCCGCCTTCCGAAAAACGAAATGTGTTGTGATTGGTTAGCTGTCCCAGTGCGTTGTGATTGGCGAACAACTTAGATGGTGTTTCAGTACTGCCCGGCCCCCTGCCAAAGCAGCATGTACCGTCTGCTCGGGTTTAGTTAAGGATGGCGTCAATATTGGCATATCAATTTGAGCCGGATTCAGACCCAGAGAATATTGAACAAGAGGATTGTGCAGAACCTTTGCACGCACGGATATTGCAAGACATATTAGAGTGGTAACATTATTGTTTTTTTTGTTTTTTGGCTAAATCACGTTTTAGATAGGATGTTAACAACCGCTTAAAAATAACTGCATTTACTATGTACAGATAAGTGCATATGTATTATTTTTATTGTTATTTCATTCGAGTTTCTGTAGGCGGGAATTATTTTAATGATATTCTAATGGGCCGCTTTGTGATATCACAAAACCCGGAAAACAAACGCTGTAGTCCAAACGAGTCGTTCGTTGTAGTTCTTGAAAATGGATTTTTAAAAAACGGAATATCTCCCTTTGGAGTGGACTTTGAGATTTGAAGATCTTTTTTATGCCCAAACATACACACTACACACTGACTAAAATTCAAAAAGTGAAAAAGCATAATAGGACCCCTTTAACAACAAATAGCCAGTTTTTCATGCCAGAAGTGCATAGCAATCGCAACATCAAATATACATTAAAATTTTTCATCAAAAGTGTCTTTATGAATTTATAGTAGTGTAATGGGCCGCTTTGTGATATCACAAAACCCGGAAAACAAACGCTGTAGTCCAAACGAGTCGTTCGTTGTAGTTCTTGAAAATGGATTTTTAAAAAACGGAATATCTCCCTTTGGAGTGGACTTTGAGATTTGAAGATCTTTTTTATGCCCAAACATACACACTACACACTGACTAAAATTCAAAAAGTGAAAAAGCATAATAGGACCCCTTTAACAACAAATAGCCAGTTTTTCATGCCAGAAGTGCATAGCAATCGCAACATCAAATATACATTAAAATTTTTCATCAAAAGTGTCTTTATGAATTTATAGTAGTGCTGTCAAATGATTAATCGCATCCAAAATAAAAGTTTTTGTTTACATAATATATGTGTATGTACTGTGTATATTTATTATGTACATATACTGTAAATACACACACATGCATGTATATATTTCAGAAAAATATGTTATGTTTATATATTAAATATATTTATATATAATATAAATTATATGAATATAAATATATACATGTACTGTAAATATTTTCTATATATATATACTGTATGTGTGTGTATCTATATATACATAATAGTACACACATATATATTATGTAAACAAAAACGTTTATTTTGGATACAATTAATCGCGATTAATCGTTTGACAGCACTAATATATAGCAATTATGGAATCACATGGCCTTAGAGTTTACAGATAATATGAACTAAAATAAACTTAGATCAAACTAAATGGCAACTGTTGGACTATATACACTGTATAGTTTCAAGGTAATCTTGCAAAAAAATAAAATAAAATAAAACATAGTAACAGCTATTGTGAGACTATATATTTGCAAACAAAATATTTATCTTGATAAATTAAGAATGAAAAAGTAATAGATTTTAATAAATGAATATTTATTTTGACACAATCGCTTACCTGCTTCTCCAACAAACACCTCTACCGGAGCACTTGGAGGGCTTTCCCCGATGACGTTGTAGGCAGTCATCACAATTTCATAGCGTCTGTATTTCTGCAGCTCTGATGAATTCAAAATTACAAACAGAAGATCCATAAGGGTGCTTGAAAGGCACATCTTGGCTTTGAGACAGCAGGAAAGAAGAATGGGAATACATCTGGGTAGAAACAAAAGCATCCCTGAGATAACCACCTACTGTTCCATATCAGTGTGGATACAGAACAGTTTAGGTGAGATCTTGGAAAGGAATGGCATTACTGTTTCCAAACTCTTTGAACAGTACTGATGGGATGGTACAGGGGAGACTGAGAGCACATGCAAGTCTCAGGTCTGAGGCGGTGCGCAATGGGATTCACTTTGAGAATATCTCGGGGCCAAAATGTTCCTGGTCAGAGTAGATGGATTAGAGGAAGAGCCTTGTTCTCTGAACAGGAAGAGTATTAGGGATTACACACTTTGCCAAAGGGAGTTTGAATATTTTGGACTTCAAAGCAGACTGACGTAAATGAGAACGATGGCTAAATGAAACTTACGCGTTAGCTCAAATTCGGTTAATGAAGGATTGCTGACAGTCTTCACAGTGCTTTTGGCTGTGGAGGGAGAAAGAGCAAACGATGAGGAATACATTAATGGAGAAGCAGCAGAGATGGAAAAGCACAAATCAAAGGGATATTTCATCATGGCAGTAAATCTTTGCTTTTCAAAGTTGCTCATCACACACTTCTCCAAGAGATTGATGAAATTCCACAATGCTCATCTAGCTCTCCAATCAAAACCCGCAAGAAACCAAAGCCAGTCAGTGATTAATGATTCAACAGTCAATATACAGTACTAAATCACAAGCTGGGGTGCATTAGGGACCTAATAAGATTTTTTTTGAACACATACTGATCCAACATCACTTGGGTAAAATTAAAGAAAAATCTGGTCATTCCTTTTTTATACAGTTTCTTTTGAGTGCTGTAACTTAAACACATATGCCTTTGTGGCTTTAAAAAAGGGCTTCTATATGAGGCTACTTCAGACTTTACGAAGTATCTTCTCGTCAAGCTCAGACACAAACTTTATTTACAACAAATAAATAAATAAATGACAAACAGGAGCCTAAATGGTTAAAAATAAAGAGCTCACTTAGTGACGGAGAATTAGCTTACATGCTGTAAACTTTGAATTCAATTGAAATGAAAATTGATCATTTTAAACATATTTTTAAACTATCATACAGCTTTTTGTGATTTTGTCATTATTTTTTTATCATTTCATGTCGTTTAAACATGGAATATTGCAAAGTAAGACTAAACAAGTAATATCACACAATATTATTTAAATCATCACATACTTGCTCATGCTTGTGCTATTGTTTTCCCCACAAAATATGTTATAATAAACATAGCTTTTCATAGATAAAAGGGATTCAAACATGTTTTGCTTTAAATATTTTGAGTATTTCTTAATAAACTTTTTCATGCCAGAAGTGCATAGCAATCACAACATCAAGTGTATTTTATAGTGATACTTTACTGAAGTGTACTCTATAGTGACAATGTTGTAAAAAATTGATACGATATCTATTTTTAAAATTGTCATTTTATTCAGCATATCAATAACTAGATGGAAGGGGAAATGCTCAACAAGAATGACTCAGCTTTGTTTCATGTCACATGATCCAGAAGATTTTGTACTAAATCTTTGTATCTGTCCGGCAGCACACTACGGACAACAATCATAGGCACATACAAACATATCAGCATAATAAAAAAACATAAACTGACTCGGCTTTAGCAGAATGCTCCAGAAAGTGACAGAGCCCATGTTAGCTTCTGTAGTACCTGCTAACTTTTCAATGTAAGCTGTTAAGCCTGAACAAACAGAGCATAGCTCCGGTAATTTCCTCTTGGCATTTAGGGTGATTTCAGCCATGTTCGTTGATCTTGTCATGTGAATCCATCTCCTTCTCAAAACAGAATTATGAATGTGTAAAAAAATAACTAACTAGTGCTGTCAAACGATTCATCTATTATTTACATAATATATGTGCATGTACTGTGTATATTTATTATGTACTGTATATATAAATACACATCCATACAGTATATATTTTGAAAATATATGTATTTACATATATTTATATTATATATAAATATAATTAATATATAAACATAACATATTTTTCTTAAATATATACGTGCATGTGTGTGTATCTATATATACATAATAAATATACACAGTACATACACATACATTATATAAACAAAAACTTTTATTTTGGATACGATTAATCGCGATTAATCGTTTGACAGCGCTAATGTGAATTTCGTCATTTGCTAACGTTGATTGCGTCCCAGTTTCATGTCAAAACTCGACTTACTTTCTGAGAGTGTAGCTGAGAAATACAACATTCATCTTTGCACAAAAGCGCTCGTCAAAAAGGCTGAGGTAAAAATTGTTAAGGAATTCCTTTTTATCAATAACTGGAATGGGTTCAAGTGTTCAAAGAAGCACTCAAGCTATAAATCACGCCTGCGTGCAGACGTTTCTGGTTCAAGAGGAGAGCCTCCTCCCGCTAGTTACCTGTCAGTTCGGTGCGCAGCAAGGAGCTGTTGACGGCCCTCTTTGACTCCTGCGGTGTGCTGTCATACTGCAGCTCGCGGTAGTAGAGCCGATAGCCCACCAGAACCCCATTCACACTCTCCTCCTTGGGCTTCTGCAAAGGCACAGATTAAATTAAAGGTCACATTCCGCTAGCTGTTCTCACGGTCCTTATTAAAGCACACACTGATAAAAAGCCATCCCGGCCGTAACTGACAGACAGCGCTGACTGATCTCCCATCGCTCGTCCGTGCGCGACGCTCGCCGCCAAACGGATAAGATAAATAAAAGATGAGGATTTAATTTCTGAGCCATTCAGTCAGTGGGTAATTAACAAAGCTCAGAGCAGAGCGTAATCAACTCAGCCTACGGTTCTGCTGATAAAACAGACAGTAGCGAGAAGATCCGGGACTCATAGGTCAGTGAATAAAGGTTTCAGCTACTAATTAATATCCCTTCAGATTGCAGGATCGCTGTCGTGCATGGGTATTAATTATCCCGGGCTTGGCGGAGCCCTTTGCGAGCTCTGTAAATGTGCGGGTATCAATACCTCATGTCATTAATTTATGCAAACCTGCACGAGGAATACTAAGCGATGCATGCCAGACTGCTCAAAGTGAGGCGAGGCTACCTATTGACAAAAGTCAGATCATTAAACAGAACAGGGCTGTAATTTCACTGGTGATAGCCTGTAACATGCCGCTACTCTTCTCACAGGCTGGAGCCGGTTTGTTATCTGGCTATCAGATAAACGTAATGGGGGTCAAGAGTTCACTCGACCCAGGGTGGGCCGGCATTAGCGTACCTGCCACTGCACCAGCACGGATGTTGTCGTGGAGGGTTTCACGGCTTGAATTGTGGGCGATTCATCAGGAACTGCAGATGCACAGAAAACAACATTTGATAATAAGTTCACATAAACAATAAGGAATCCCATTCTAAGTTCAGTAAATACAGTAATTTTTTTACTTGCCATTATGTTGTTCTAAACCTGTATGACTTTATTTCTTCTGTGGAACACAAAAGAAGGATTTTTGAAGGCTGGCCTTTTCAATATATATATGAAGAGTTCAGATGCAAAAGCCTTTAAGTGCCGTCTGAAATTTTCATCTAAAAGGAGCATTTTTTATCAGGTTCATATGTTTAGGTTCAGTAATTTTACTCTAATGGCAATGTACAGGTCCTTTTCTATGCAATTAAAGTGATATACCTGAACTGGTGTTCCAAGGACTGGTGGTTCCAAGCTCAAAAATGACAAAAGAGCACCATAAAAGTACTTTAAAAGTCCTTTTGACCATATCATATCACCTATTCTGAAGTTGTAAGATTTCGTTCTGTGAGAAACAAACAAACAAAATAACTTTTCACACAGCACTTAACCCTTGGTTATCATTGTTCTTAACCCCGCTTTTAACTAGGCTAAAGAAGCGTTTCACAGCGTTAGCATCACTTTTGCTCTGGTTACCCTGCATTGCCGTGCCAAACTTGTACAGTTTGAAAAGATGCAGTGTTTGAATGTTACGGCTAGACGCTTAGCAACAGACACCCAATCGCGTGCCTCACATTCATGTGCTTTGGACAGTCACAGAAACACTGCATGTTGTATAAACAATCGTTTCAGCGTTTGAGGGGAAAAAATGTCAAATGGGATTAGAAAATGTATCAACTGGAGTGAAGAAGATACTGTTTAATTTTTACTTTTATAGTCCAAAAAATCCATTCAGGAAAAAGGCAGTCGGCAATGTATACAAGTGACACCACAAATAGTGTTAATCCAGGGTTTAGAAACATGTCAGCATATGAATACCCAGGTTTTACTGTTAACCCCGGGTAAATAATGAGCAGTGTGAAACGTGACACAAGATAACCAATGATTCTGTTTAGAATAGGATTAAAATGACCCAGGGTTAACTATTGCAAGTGTGAAAAGCCCTATTGTCGTTATTTACAAATGTCTTCTCTTCTAGCGAGTTTTGAGTCATTTGACCAGGGGTTTACAAACTTTTGATGCCCTTGATCCCCATTTATGATGGTCCCATCGCAAGGGACCAAAGGCCTTTATATATTCACTATTTGTAGACTTTATCTTTTTTCTAAAGTACTTTTAGATATTTATAAGAACTGAAGAGAAACATAAAAAGTTGACTGTCTAAAATAAATCTTAGGATTTCTGACCATTAGAAAGAATAAACTGAAATAATGTCATATTCTGTACATTGGAACTTTTTTTTAATATATATTCTGAACTTTCCCACAGACCTAGCACTCCCTTGTGGCCCACTAGGGGTCCACTGAACCCAAGAAAGAAAGTCACACAAGTTTAGAATAGCATAAAGGTGAGTAAATAATGACAGAATTAAATCAGTTCCAAGACTTCAGCTTGCAAGTAAATGGTGCAGATCAGACTGTAGCTCCTCTATGACTTTTATTTGAATCAATAGCGCATCAACCAAAGCCAGTAGATACAACACGCTCATTATTACTCACCATCTTGTAAAGTGGTAATTGCATCCGTCTCTTGGCTGTACTTGCTGTCTCCGACGTCATTAGTCGCCATCATTCTGAGCTTGTATGAAGTGAAGGGTTTCAGCCTGAGGGATTGCACAGCTCGTGAGCTCTCTCATATTGGACAAAGACCTTTCCCATCACAAATGATGTGGCACAGCAGTGCATGTATGAGCTAGTATCTATAAATGTCAGGGACACAATCCATTGAATCCCAAGGGCATGCGCTGGCAATTACAGAGTTTTATCTTAAAGCACTTGAGGCAGAGAGGTGAGGATGGAAATAAGATACGAAACACTTCATATCGGAGAGCTCATATAAAGACATAAGTGCAGCATATGCCACTTCATAAAAACCGAAATATGAGGTGGTGGTAAATTATGTCAGGGAATGCAGTTTAATAGGGCTGCACAATTAATTGGAAAAATATGTTTTTTTAATTAGATTTAATTATATTTTTTAAATTATAATATATATTAATATTATTATTTGAATAATAGATGTCATTTTGGTAACACTTTAGAATAGGGAACATTTATTCACTATTAACTACGACTTTTCCCTCAATAAATTCCTAATGTGCTGCTTATTAATAGTTAGTAAAGTAGTTGTTAAGTTTAGGTGTTGGGGATGTAGAATAAGGCATTAATATGTGCTTAATTACTACTAATAAATGGCTAATATTCTAGTAATATGCATGCTAATAAGCAACTAGTTAAGAGACCCTAAAATAAAGTGTTACCGTAATTTTTTATTTATATTATTATAATAATATATACTATAGAAAATAATCAACAATTATTATTTTTTGTCATAATTTCACAGCCATACTTCCTAGACTTCTTCAGCTAATTTAAATTAAAATTTACATTTACATTTATTTATTTAGCAGATGCTTTTATCCAAAGTGACTTACAATTGGGGAATAGATAAAGCAATTTTCAAGTTTCATAATACCAAGTTTCAAGCATTGTTCAAATAATTACAAGCAGACATTGAAGAACAGAGAAAAAAATAGTTGCTTTTTTAAATTATATTAAAAAAAATACAATTAATTAAATATAATATAATTAAAGTATATTAACGTTATTATTAGTTGTTATATAATATATCAAATATGAATTAGATATACATTTACAATAGAATTTTAAAGGATTAACAATAATCAACAATTACTATTGTCATAATTGCATAGCCAAACTGTCTAGCATTCTTCAAATAACGCTAAGAATAATAAATTAAATATAAAAAATAAATAAATATAACATATTAATAATTTAAATTATTATAATAACATACACTTCATAAATAATCAAATCAGCCCTATTGCTTAGCCTTCTTCAATCACTGTGTTGAAAATCACAGGCACAAAACTTCTTGATTTTGACAGTAAAGGGAATATGTAGAAAAAAATTTCACTTTAATTTCAAATTTGTTCTTTTCCCATTTCCCCAAGACACACTGCACAAGCCAATTGGGCTCATTAACGAACTAAACATGTCGTTTAGGCTTCATAACCGATCTCTGTCGATTGAGATGAGTTGCACGGCACTTTCCAAAACGAGGGGGCTTTCTGCTATTCGTATTTGCTTGGTTAAAGGGAATATTTTTCCCATGATGCCCCACTCCTAAAAGCCTCCAGCTGGTAAAGACACAAATCAGTCCTGAATAATCCATTTAGCAACAATCTGGCTGTATAAAAAAGCACTCAAAAGCTGATGGCTGAGAGAGTTTGTAACTGAGAAAGGGGACTCATCATAAACAAGATGATATGGCCCTCTGAATGCATATAAAATACTATTCGACTGCCCATATAATCATAGCTGCGGATCCGACATAACTCATATGCAAAAAGCTGGAGCGCCCATAGCCCAACGCGTACTGATTGTTTCTCACTCTCTCAAATTGAATTGAGAATCATAAATTACTGCAGAGGAAAAAAGGCTCCTACGCATTTAATAACACTCCCTCCATACTGCCCTTATTGTACATGAGCCCTGCAGGGGAACACATGTGGCTTCGAAACAGCGGAGAGTGAAATCAACTCTGTGAGGGTCATTGGAGGCCAGTCTCTGGGTAAAGCCCCTGGTATTGTTGTTTGTGGGATTGTGGGGGTTGAGAAATGGCAAAGGAGCTCACCTGTCCACTTCCCAGGAGGTATAATTGTGGCTTATAGCAGAAGAATGGGTGAGCCAGTCTCCGTTGGGCAGCTCCCGCGTCTGTAGGGTGAAGTAACGGACGGGAGAGGAGCCGTCCCCTCCGGGCACCCAGTTGAGCTGCAGTTTGCGGGACTGCACGTGGTCCTGAGGCACCCGCAGCTGCCGTGGAGGCTGCGGTCGCTCTGATGGAGAAGAAATAGATGTGAAGTTGTGAGTTCAGGGGTCAGGCTGGTCTTGCTGACTGTCCTTAATCACGGGACAGGACTTGTCTACCCATGTGTGCATCAGTCAGCGGGTCTTGCCCTGGCCTCTCCACCCCTCCCCACCTGTGTGACACGCAACTGCATAACCTCATCGATTTTAAAGGGAGAAATCAATACGGAGAGGCGTAATTGTTTATTTAAAGGTGCGTGGTATCGACCGCCATTAAAGATGCAGATCATGCACAACGAAAGCCATCGAAAGCCATGATTGCAATGGCCTTGCCCATGCAGCTTTTAAAAGCACCAATCGAACAGCTTCAGGAGGTCAAAGGATGATATGTAATCACTCTCCATCTCCATCTATCAGTCTGTCTTGAAATTGATTTATTTATTACCAGTGTAGCAGTTGGGCTGCATATCATGACTCTTTAGTAGTCTAAAATATAGCAAATAATGATTTGGATCATGCATGCATTGTTAAACTTATATAAATGCTTAAAATCAACAGAAAACAATAGCAAGCCATTTTACTTCCGTAATGCGGCTTGGTTTCTAATGGAAAATAGGATCTGTTTTTATCTATGGTGAATGGTTTGGACCGTGAAAAGTAGCTGTTTCAGAATGCAGCCAGACTTGATTGTGAGTTTTCAGTCTATTGCGGATAACTGCTTTCCTCCTGAAACACCACCAGCATCTATTTCTGAAGTCGATTTCACCCATCAGAGCAATTAGGTGCATCCCAATATGATGAGAGGCTAACCAGCAACACGACGATAGATGGTGTCAATGATGTCAGATTACCTCATGTCTCATTCACAAGTGAGAAAACTTTACAGTACAAAGAGAATATTTTTACAATAACAACACTTTTCATTCTCACTCATTTTCATTATTTTCATTTAGCTTCATTTAGACCACTTAACTTAGTGATTGCTATCAGGATATGAAGAGACTTTCAACCAGCATAACAAAAAAATGTTTGGAACCAAATCACCTACTCTGCCTTTAAAGCAATATGGGTGTTGTGTATTTATGTATGTGTTTGCGTCACCTCTAATCTCAGTAGTTATGACCACAGCCTGTGCAGGTGCTCCCCAGCCCTGCTCCGTCTTGGCAGAGATGCGAAAGATGTAGGCCGACTCCGGGGTCAAGTTGGAGGTGGTGAACTGACGGGTATCAGGGCCCACCTCTACTGTGATGAACTGGTTGGGATCCCCAGAATCCAGACGGTAAGCTACCTGGTATCCTACAAAACAGTCATTAGATCGTCTGAGGTGAGTCTTGATCCTCCGTCCTTCTCATGTCTACGGTGAGACAGCTTAAGCTGACATCAAAAGTCTGAATAACATTTCCACAAACTCTGAGAGTCGTTTTCAGTCAGGCATGCTTTTGAGAACTCAAAGTACAAAAGGACAGGAAGAAAATATCTCCTCAAAAAGCCATTTGTAGTTGGGAAACCATCTTTAGAAAAACAACATCAGGTTTATAAGATGAACGGCTTTCAAAAAGGCTTCAGTGCACTGGACAATTTGGTCTATCAGCATCTACTTTAAATTCGGCTCTGGTTAACATCTGCAGTCATTGCTTACCTTTACTGCAGAAAGACTTCATTCAAATACGTCTTTCATCGAGGAAGTCCTCTGCCTTGCCCTCACTGCCTTCACTCAAATTTAATCCAAATGTCAAATTCAATACAAAGAGAAAAGAACCACAAACAAAATGCGGATGTGCAACAAACATGCATAAAATGAAATTTGTTTGTGTTTTACCACAGCAAAATAGGTCCAGCTCAGGTAGCCCTTTATCGACACCAAACAAGAATTATGTTCTTTTTAACTCATTTTGTCCATCGTATTTTTCACTTAAGAGTGGGCCATTTGTTTCACCATTTGTAAATTTTATGGGTCTGGCTTCCGGTCTCATGTGCATCCAGCTATTTTTGGCTGTAAAAACAGCTTGTTTTTCTGCTTGATATTGCAAATTGGTGTGTCTTACCATATTATTTTAATATATTATCTTAATTATGAACGTGCTTTTAGTGCAAACCGTTTTACTGTTGTTTAGGGCTGCACGATTAATCAAATGTGATTGTCATGGGCATCTTGTCAGTAAAGACGGTTCTGTGATTAGTAGTAAATCTCCAGCACGTGCTTTCAGATGGAGCAGCATTTACTAAACTGAGCCGTAGTTCACTGACAAGCTGCGCAAAATCGCATTCATAATCGCAGACGATTTAATCGAGCGATTATGAAATCGAAGAAATCGTTCGGCGATTATGAAAGCTGTTTGCGTAGCTTGTCAGTGAACTACGGCTCTGTTTAGTAAATGCTGCTCCATCTGAAAGCACTTGAAAATACCACATTTAATAACATGTTTTTACTCCAAACTCACTTCATAACGTCAGCCGAGTGTTTGAAATAAATCCTTCTGTGAGATGATGTGGCTTCTTACACAGAATAAGACACGCAACATATTTTATAGTATTCTAAGCAGTCATAAAGGCTATGTCGATTAGCATTGCATTATTATATACTTTATTATAATAAACATTATAATAAGACGAACTCAGATAAACCATATATTGTCGTAGTCGTGTGTTTATTAGTCACGTTGAATTAATGAAAGCAGTTAAATCTTCTGTTTATTCAGCAACCGCTATAGGCATTTCCTGGGTTTCTTCTGCTAGGCGTATTTGGAGTTTCAGCACGAGAGCGCCCTCTGGCCTTTGGATGGAGATTTACTGCTGATCACAGAACCGTGCTTCACTGAAAGATACGCATGACAATCGCAGCTTCTGCCTAATCGTGATTTATCGCCTTTGCAATTTAATTTCGATTAATCGAGCAGCCCTACTGTCGTTGTTATTCCACTCATTTTTTCCCTATAGCGGCTAATGAACCTGAAGTCTCGCCCATAGGCTTACTTCCGTGTTGAAGAATAATGTGGATACTGGATATTATTTAGCGTTATCATTAATTGCCATTATTAGAATTATTCATTTTTAAACTAAAGACCAATTCTGTGAGTGAAAAACAGTTTCACCAATAGCTGCCGCTCAAATTGAAGCAGAAAAGTACAGAATCTGTCATTTTATAATTGTATTTAGTTTGATATTGGTTGGAACACTTGATGGGACAAAAACAGAAGGTCCATACCTTTCATTACGAGGTTGAAACCAACACTGACAGATATAATTTGACTTTCTTTCCTTAAATAGCGACTGAATATGTTAAGCTGTTAATTACAAAAAAAGTTTTGAATTATTTTAATCATTTTACACCACTAATATTTACACAGTTTTTTGCTTTAAAGGTTTAGCAAAGCTAAATCAAAATTCTTTTCAAGATTACTTATTTATCCCTGGTTGAGACTCACTGTTTCACATTATTGAAATGCTAAAATTTAAAACAAACTAAATTAATTAATTAATAGTGTAATATATAAATTATACTAAAATAGAGAAAGTATGACTATATTAATATATGAGAATCACTGCTTATTCACATAATTAAAAATTATAACTAAAACAAAATAAATAGTGTAATGTATATTATAAATCAAAGTAAAATGTAGAAATTATATCTTTATTAATAGATAAGTATGTTGCCAATCATTTGCAACTATATAAAGCTCTATATAAAAGCTTCACTCATTCATTTATTCATTCATGCATTCATTCATATACTAAAAATTTAAACTGAAACTAAAACTAAAATATAAAAAAATGTGTATTATGCTAAAGGACAGAATGTTTTAGGCAAATTAAAATCCATGTATTCCTAACTTAGAGATTGAACAGGCATGGCTTGACACAGAAGTGCTGTGCTAGATCTGCTGAGCATCCGTCTGCATCGTGTCCAAGGGAATGGCACGTGTTGCAAACCGCCAGCAAAACAAATGATAACATTATCGGGAAACATGTTGAAAATGGAATGTGTGGGCAGAGCTTTGCCGTGGGAGAGACGGAACATTATTCAACCATCTATTTATCTTTCGGGATGCTTGCACTGCATGCTGGCCCCCTTGGGCTGTGCAAAACGAAATTAGGCCATCCCACATTGAGAATCTGCAGCACTTGGGGGCTGCCATTTCATCCTAATGTCCACTTCAGCCATGAGGGGCAGTGGAAAATCACATACATTCATCCCCAAACACACACACACACCCTCTCTTCCCAGTTACTTCCATGCCAGTGTCTATATTTCTAGAAATACAGAGAGTACTGTGGGCAGAAAGCAGCCCGTTTGCGTGGCTCTGACGGGCTATGACCCGTGCATTGTTTATTAGGGCTTTGCTTTTGGGAAAGGGTTTCCACTGTGAGGGCATCGGCCCATGTGATTGGCTAGGTCACAACCCCACAAACGCCTGCAGCTCTATTTTCCTCATTCATTGCCCAATGATTACGGGTCCTGCAGCGGCAAGCAAAAACACTCACAAGGGCAGTGCCTCGGTAGAAAGGGCAGGAAAGCCCAGCGCTCCGCCACTGAATCTCAGCAAGCGGCGTTCTCATCAACACTGACTTTGAATGCATTTCTTTTCTTTGAGAGGCCTCTTTTTATTTTGGATATTATAAAAGCCATTTGTCCAATTAAAATGTTCTGTATTTTTTTTTTCATTTTTATCTGAAAAAGTATATAAAAAAACTTTTAATATATCTGCTGTCAACTTAATGACAAGCTAATGTGTGAAATTTTTGTGCCATTAACAT